TTTTGAACATAAAATTTCAACGTATGATTCATGTTAGAGAGTTGGGCACATAATCTAACACATTTGTGGTTATTAAGTTAACCACTCAAATGCCAAAGCCACCAAGTGCCCATGCCTTGGACCGTCCTTAAACCTAGAACAAGTAACTGGTCAACTTGTATGTCTATTTTATATTAGCTAATTAATTGCTTGTACAAATAGCAAAACCGAACGTGTCTCTTCGGGATTGGTCGATATTCGCCACGTAATACTCAAAACGTGCATCTTTGGCACACTTCAAATTAAGGCCTTTTTTTTCTTCACATGGAGTTGAGGTCATATTTTTGGTGTAATAAGAAATATGAGGTTTGGAATATTTGTGGAAATCAACATACATCCTTATCTAATATTGTATTTTAATAAAATATTAATTTTAATACTCGAATTATTATTCTATATATTATATAGTATCTGATATTAACACTATTAGTAAGTATCAAATCAACTAATAAAATTTTGGCACGGAATTATATTGCATTCGATAATTTGATCATCCCTTTGCATAACTAGTACCAGACATTTAAAAATTCGAAAGAAATTTTAATAGGGTAAAGAGCAAATGGTTATTGATTATATGACGTTGATTGGTAGAGTTTCCGTCTATTAAAAATTATAAAATAGTTCCCTAACTATAGAACGTTGTATTGTTGAGTCCCCTAGCCATTAAAAGTTATAAAATAGTCACCCGACTATTTATATGTATCTTTGGATATGATAAAATCATATTTTATGATGTCTATTAGTACTGTCATTGTTTTCAAGCACCGACTCAGCAACATAATGTTTCAAGCACGGGCTTGAAGGTATAATGTAAACAGTCCACAAAATACAGCTCAAACGGTTCTGGGATCAAATTTTATCATATCCCAGTCAACGAGTTAACGTCCAGCTCAAACGACCACCAATTTTATAATGTAAAAGGATGAGTTTGGAACATATGAATAGTCGAGTGATCATTTTGTAATCTTTAATGGTCGGAGGACTCAACAAAACAACGTCCTATAGTTAGGGGACCATTATATAATTTTTAATGGTTGGGGAACTCAACAAAACAACTTCCTATAGTCGGGAGACTATTTATGTACTTTACCCATTTTAATATCAGTATACTCAATATCGAACAATATATATTAATTTCAAAATTTTAGTTACAATATAATTTATTGTTTCTATTTTATACTTTTTATACCAAATTTTGTATCGATCATACAAGTATATATCTATTTATAACCATTAATATCAATCTTTTATGCCATGATTATAAAGTAGATGGTAGGTTTTTCTGTTATAAATTACATTCGGGAAGCAAATTTGGTGACAACACATGCTTCTTGCAACCTTAAATTTATAACAATAGTTATACTTTTTCTCTTACATCAGAAGGGGGAAAAAGAAACAAAAAGACATTGATGGATTGTTTTGTCAAATGGTTTTAGGCTAAATTAAGGTAGCATGATGAACTATAAGTTGATTTATTAGGGTAAGATGGTAGGTCCTTAAGAGTTCGAATCTTAATTAGGAATGGTTATAAGTTGGATCGAATTGAATTTTTTGTTCACCCATATCCGATTCGAGTATAACATCTTTTCACATGTTATTTAATTTTATTCAAATTTAGGGGAGTTTAACCCGACTTGAAACACAATTCGACTTTTAAAATAAAAACTTGCACCTGACTATTTACAAATATATATTTAAAAAAATCTATTTTTTCTGACAAAATAGGGAGCTAATTGAAAATTTTACTCATTAGATATATAAAGGTTATTATATTATTATTCTCGGGTCGAGACATGTCGAGTTTTTTTATTTTAAATCTAAACTTGATCCGACCTTATCATTCAAAAAATGTGATCGGATAGGACTTAAATCCAAATTAAAAAAAAATTGACTCTATAAAATCATGTTCAGATCAAATACTCATCCTTAATCCTAACATCAAGAATAAAAAAAATTTGGTTAAAAAATTACATCTATATAGTACTCGGTTCAAATTAATTGATCAATAAATTAAATACGGATAAATATGTTAAGTAAACAAAGTAGTATGGTACAAAATAATCAATTGGAATATCTAAACGCCATTTTGTCCATACCATAAAGTTCTTGGCAACTTGGATAAGACTTTAACAAAGTCCAAGAGATTGATTTTTAATTTGATGGGCAATTTAACAAGAATACCTAATTTTGTATGACACAGGCTTGGTTTTTATTCGTTGGGAGTAGGGATGGTAATGGATTAGGTAGACATATTTTAGTATCTAAATTTGAGATGAGTTTAGAGTAACACATTCCGATATGTACCATTAATGATGTTGACTAATATGCATTACTAATATAAAAATATGGTAAAATTTATAAATGATCATTAAATTTATTAAAATAATTTAATTTATCTTTGGAATTTTAAAAGTTATAAAATAGACATTAAACTTCGGATTTTATTTAAAAATAGGTAGCGATCGTGAAATATTGTTAACTGTTAAGGGGGTGACATAACATGCTAAATTAATAGGAAATGTCTCACTTGGTCCCTCAACCATAACTAAAATTTCATTCTAATATTTTTTTCAATATTTTGAAGTAATAATTTCAAAAAGAAATTTGAAAATTTAGATTTTTTAAAAAATATATATGAAAATTTTAATTTTTAAAATTAAAAATTATAATTTTTTAAATTTTATTCATTCATCAAACTATTTTATAACTAATTATTTATTAATAGTGATTGTATTTGTAAAATTAAAAATTTATGATTTTTGAGATCGAAAAATTGAATTATCGAACAATGTAATTATTTTTTATTAAATGATATGCTTCAAACATCTGAATTGTGTTTAATAAGTTTAAACACAATTTTAAAAAATACATCCAGAAAATTATAGTATCACATTAATAAGAAAAATACATCCAAACTTAAATAAAAATAATCGAGACAATCTTTAACTTCTAAAATTGTATCGAATAATTTATATGGTATAAATTCAATATTTATAATATGAAACTAAAAAATAATATTTAATTTATTTATATACATTTTGTTTTCAATTTAAGAAACATAATAAAAAATATTTTAATTAAATTTAATAGTAAAATGAAATTTTAATTACAATTAAAGGGTTAGATGAGATAGTTTCTATTAATTTAGAATATCACTCACCTTTTTAATGATAGATAATGGTATTGTGCCCATTTTATAATAAAGTTTAAACTTTGATGTCTATTATATAACTTTTGAAAGTTTGGCGTCTAAAGTGATCATTTCTATATAGTTTAATGTCCATTTTATCTTATAATTTTTTCCTAAATTTGATTTGACATTTACTTCACAAAATTAATTGGCGTTAATTTGAGTTTAAAAGTATTTTTATATGAAAATTTAATCTCAGTCCGATATCATCACCATAAAATAAACTTTGGGTCAATCTGAATTAAATATATTTTTATTCGGTCTATCAATTCATAAAAAATCTAACTCAATCGAATTAGATCGAGCTAAGATTCATTGAATACGTAATCTTTTTGTCATTTAGTTGAGGTTTTGGAAAGCAATTAATTATAATTTATTTAATTTTTAAAAGTTATATTGATATGAATTTTTATAGCAACTATAATACTAGTATTAGTATAATTATGATAATTTATTTTATAATTATCGTTAAGACTGAATTCAATTTTTTTATTAATTATTAAATTAGAGGTTGTTATTTGACCTGAACTTAATGAATTTTGATTAAACTCTATAAAATTGAATTCTTTTGTTGTTAAAAAATTGAATTTTGAATTCGAACATATAGTTTTAAAAGGATAAGATTGAATTACGTTTGATTAAGATGAAAAATTCTAGACCCGACATGATTACTACCAAGCCCCCTTAGTTTCACCTATAATTAGGTGCAATGGTAAAATATATTGCACTTGCAATGATAATAATCTAAATTTAAACCTTAAAAATAATATTATTGAAGGTGACAGTCACAAACTTTAGACATATATCATTGAACGGACATATATGATACTAAAAATAAAATAAATTAATTAATTCCTTCCAATTTAAACAATAACAACTAGGTGAGTAAATCCGTAATTTTCACATTGTGGAGGAGTAGAGGGACTAAAACCAAAATTAGACCTCTTCTCAAATCTCTCAATTTTATCATTTCTGGTTGCGGTCAAGCATTTTCACGAAACTCCCAACTCTTCCGAATAACGAATTTCAACTTTCAAGGCCGTCATCTTAGTAATTTTCACTCTAAATTCAATGAATTGGAAGATTCTCAAAGCTGTTCGAGGAAATTTCTATCAGATTTGCTCGTAATCAAGCTTGTTTAGTTAAACGGAACCAACGCAATGGGGTTTAAAAAGCTGTTCCACGAAATGCCTATCAACTGTTCGATGAAATTCCTCTTGGTTCATTTGCTGGGAATCTTTCTGTTAATAAAATCCATACCTATGGGCAAAGGCCTCGCCCTCCCTATACGATCATTGATCAACATTCAACCAAAATGCTTATTTATTGGTTTTCTAGAGAATAATATGGTTGTAATTGTTGGTTTTCAACTTTAATTGGACACTCTTTTCGCCCTTCCACTATCGGTAGCTTATTACCGTAAGCCCTTCCGCTATCGGTAGCTTACTAATGTAAGCCCTTCCACCATGGGTAGCTTATTATTGTAGGCTATGGGTATGAAAGATTGAAAGGGATTTTTAACGAGGCCCTTCCAACATGACACATAGCGATGATACAAGAATCATCAAAATGAGATTTAAAAGGCTTTCCCCTTCTAACATTGAACGTGTTGATGCGTATCAAACTCAAGATCTTAATTCTAACTCGAACAACTCATATTTAGTGGTAAAGTGATTATATTTAATATATTCATAATTAAACTTAAACAACTACACTAATGGCCACTAATCAAAGGCACCAAACCAGATAAAAAGATGCAATAATTTTCAACTGCACAAACACCAACAATAAGTGGTTCCACCTTCATCACCATTTAACAAAATCCTCAAATATCCCAACACATTTTGAGCAGTGAGCACTCAAAGATGAATACATACACCCCCACACACATACATACACAATATTGATTGATTTGATGCAACTCTTGATTGCATATGCCCTAAGATAAAAGGTACCCTACAATTGAAAAGGTGAAGGTACACTCACTTAAATAAGCAATAAAGTAATGTACATATACGTATACGTATGTATTCGTATGTGGTTGATAATTGGATTTATGTAGAGAGAAGAATTAAGGGTCTCAAAAGAAGGAACGTTTTGCAGGTGGTCGACCAACAGCTCTCATTAAGTTGGCAATTTCAAGAACCTTGGCAACTTTTGTTCCCCTCTTGGCCTCTGCTGATGCTCTTCTCTCTTCCGCTTTTCTGTGTGCTTTTGCAACGTCGTTTTGCATCTTCTCTAAGGCTTTTACTCTCTTCTCCTCAAGCTTCCTCTACATATACACCAATTCAATTGATTTAACTCGACTTGACATATACATAAGTTTGAATCGAATTCAAATGATTTAACTTGACTTTACATCGAACATGTGCCTGATCCAAAATTTTTGGTACTTAATCCATGACAAAAAAGAACTATAATAATAATCGAATTCGATTCAATCCAACCTATAGCATCCTTATGATAGTAATGGAAGCTCATAATTTAGCTAAGCTGTTGATGTATTTAACTAAAAAAAGATCGAACTTGACCTATAATTGCTACAATTATAGTGTAGCAATTTTTTTAAGCCCATCATCATCATCATCATATTCCACTAAAAACAAAGCACTTAAATTTGATTAAGTATTTGACCCAAACTCAAGAACAGAAGATGATTATTACTTGAAGATAATTTAGTTATTGAACTGTCATGAAAGTTTCCTAGAGTCAATTGAATCATCAATTAATAATCAATCATGAACATTGAATTAGTCTTTGATAACCACTACTTTTATGCATGAGAAAATGATGAACAAACCCAAGAAAAACTGGGGAAAGAAATAAGTTATCGCTATCCAAACATACCTCAACTTTCTTCATCCAAGAAGTAGCCTTTTGGACTTGTTCACTTTCCCACCCATTAATTATAGCATCTTCTCTCTTAAACCTATTATAAATCTTAGCAACTTTAGCGTTTTGCCAAGCGGATATTTTGGACTCCACCTCCTCTTTCTTCACTCTCAGCACCGAAACCTCCCCGACGCTACTACTCCCCGCCAGAACCGCAGCCGGATGCGGCGGCTCTCCTAACCCGACCCGTCTTTGCTGATCAGAACTTTGATCGGAATAAGTATTATCCGGCACTATAGCTAAAGGATTAGTTTCCTCTTGGAGTTCATGATCCTCCCCAATCCTCGTCAACTGATTATGATTATTCAAAGTGTGTATAGAATCCGAATCATTGTTTTCAATGGACGAACCAGCAAGAACAAGAGCATTAAACTCCCTACTAATGGTGGTAAAGTTCTCGCTCGATGCGATCTCGCTCGACGAAGACGCGCGGCTCCCGGTGTCCCAACGGCGACGGTTCACGGCCGGAGGGTGAGGTGGGGTCAAAGCATGGATGTCCCTGATATGTTCATCATCATGATCGTCGTTTTGATCGTTGTAATGGTCGTTTTCACCATTGTTGATAGCACTTTGAAGGGTTAGCATGGTTGGGTTGATTAGCTAGGAAGGAGGAGAAGAATTAAGAGAGATTTTGACATAATCTTTAATAGCTATTAAAGTGAACCACTAAATTATTGGGGATTCCATAAGAAAATACATATTGTGATGGCCCTCTAAGTGACAGTATATTGTAAAAAGAAAGCTTTGGATTTTCCTTTACTTATTTTGGTATTTAATTTATTGATTAATTAATTAAAATTAAATTTTACAAAATATTATCACAGAAAATAAATCTTTAAATTCAATTTTTTATGCATTCGAATCCTTGATCTTTACTAGAATAAATATATATATGGATAGTAAAAGAAATGCATATACATACTTAAAATAAAATAAAATTCAATTTACATCTTAAATGTTTTTGTTTGACTTGTATTTAAAAAGATTGTACATTTAACGAAAATATTGATGTTACCGTTAATAAAATCAATGTAAATTATATATTAATATCACCGTCCAGTTAAAACCTTCTTTATAATTTAAATTTACTTACAAAGTAAAGCATTATAGAGAGGGATGGGAAGACTTGAACCTGAGAATTAGGGAGGTAAACGCACGCCCTAATCACTGAGCTAACCTCAATGAGTGTGTGTGTTTTTTAGGGGTGAATTTTTGTGTTATATATTACACAATAACATATATTCTTTAAATCATACTTATAATTCAATGATTATATATGTGACCTTAAACTGCGTCTTTTAAATTTAATTAATAATTATTATAAAAAATTAATTAATAGTTTTATTTTTTTATTAAAAATAAAATATACAAATAATTTATTTTGAAAAATGTCTTACATGAAGTGATAAGTAGATCTTTTTTTAATTTTATTTTTTTTATTAAAAATGTAATGATATATTTAATTTAAATTATCAAATGTAATTAAAAATATTAAACATTAAAATTACTAATTTCTAATAAATTATTTTTCGAACGAATTATCTAAATTTAGGGTTAATTAGTGTCGGCAAAAGGATTTGAAGAGGAGTCCACCAACAGTGGGTAAAGGCGTGTGGACGTGCTAAAAATACACACGCGTCACACGTAATAATCATCATACTGTTGTGATTTACACGTGTCGTTTATCTGTTGGATTAGGGTCCCATTAGGTAAGCTACGTTAATTCCCGCCATGCAATCACTGACGTAATATTATGAAATGGGCAGCCACGTGTACGGTTCAGTCATTTTCTTATTTTTTTTAAAAACAAAAGTATACTTTTTTAGGTTTTCAAGATGCCCACGTCTCACGTGATAAAACTAAGCTTATCTTATCCCAATAATGAAAATTTAAAACATTATTATCAAAATTAAAAATTATTTTATTCTACAAATTGACTTAAGTAATAAAAGAAATATTGTCATTTTTTTAGATTTCAGGTTCGAATGTTAAAAATAATAAAAATATTTATGTTTAAATAATTAAGAGTTATCTTTAAATAGATATTAATTTATATTTACATCATATTAATAAAAAAAGACTACTCTATCCTATTTTCAAATAAATATTTTAAAGACTTAAAATATTATTTGTTTTTTAAATTATATATATTTTATCAAATTATTTCTTAAAAATATTTTTTGAAATCTTTAGCCCTCTAGTTAGGAGCCAAGTGTACACACATTTTTTTTTTGGATAAATTGATAAATATAATTTAATATATTAAGGGAATGAGAAAAAAATATTTACTCATTTTATTTAAAAAGTGTATTAAATTTTTTAATTTTTTTTAATTTATGGATCTGTCATTACCTTTAATGTTTAATTTTATTACCATCTCACCCTAAAAAACATTTTGTAAATAAATCAGTAAAAGTTACAATTTTATCATTTTCGACACATGATATATACCATGTTATAAACTGGGATACACAAGACTTATTACATCAGAGATTTACTTGATCATCAACTGATAAATTTTATCCAATTAATGATTATTTTATCTTAAAATAAAATATTAAATATTAAAATATTTAAAAAAATCAAAATAATTATTTGATCAAACATAAGAAGTAGTATTTAAAAAAAAATATTATTAACAATCAGTGAAATATTTTTTAGTTATAATAATGAAAATAAATTATTCAAATTTAAAATAATATTTTTATTAAAGTCAATCCAATTATAGTGAAAATTAGAACCTTAATATAATTAATTTTATTTTTGCTTTTTAAATTTGGTGGGTCGAATGTGTGCGATGACTAATTTGGAGTTTTCATTTTGTTTAATGGAAGTGTTCAATTTTATATGAAGATGGAATGTGACAAGTCTCCACTATTATTAGAGTCAAAAGTGTTTTAACATTAAAGATTGGTCCAATGTATCATACATGGAAATTTTGGTTTATTCTAAGGATAGATGAAGGGAATAAATAGGTATTCATGTAACACCCCAATTTAGGGGCTAAATTTAAGAAAATATAAATTGGTGGATTTAATTTGGTATTTTGAAAGAAATAAGGGATTAAATTGTAAGATTTCAAAGTTGACAGACCGTTTTAAGAAGTGCAGGAAGTTCAGTGGCTAAACTCTTGGTTTAGCCATTTTTAATTATGAGATGTTATAAACCCCCCATACTCCCGTATGTTTCTGGAAAATTTTCCAGTTTTCCTCTCCCGTTCTCCCTACTTCCAACTCCGATCTACTCGCCGTCCGACCTCCAAACGACAAGCCGAAACAACCATCGTGTTCGTTGTCAACCGAGGAACAAAACCCCTCAAACCTTTCGTCGTGAATCATCGTCGTTCGTCGTGAATTTCAGTCGGAAGTATCGTCGGTAATAACTCAGTTTTAGTTGGTTTTTCATCGATTCACGACGATCCGGTCATCCGTTTACGACACCTCCCGCACCATCGTGTTCCTTGTGCCGTTCCGAGTCCACCGGTGTTCTCCTTTTTCTCCGGCGACGGCGGCGCGTTGGGAGGTGAATCGGTCAAACTTTCCGATTTGTTGAAATCAAGCTCTCCGCCGTTCAAAATTGTGAACCGAGCTTTGTAAGTATCTCGAAATCGCTCAAAATAATTTTTAGAAATTTTTCCGGGATTTTATCACTGTTCACGCGCCCCCACGCGCCGCCACTGCGCGTGGGGAAGGGAAAAGTGACCGGTTTGACCGGTTTTGGAACTGTTTTGACCGGTTTGACCGGTCACAACCCGACCCGACCCGTTAACCCGACCCGACCCGTTGACCCGACCCGTTGACCGTTGACCCGTTGACCGTTGACCGGAGTTGACCACTGTTGACCAAAACTTTGACCGGCTTTGATCGGGCATTAAACGACCTTTGACTTCGACCGAGTATACCTATCCTGACATTTTTCGACGTTCCAAATCCGATTCCGCTATCCGTTTTTCGAAATTCGAACCCGAAGGCCTCAAAATTGTCAGTCAAACCCGTTGACTTTGATTTTGACCGAAAATTCCAAATTTCCAAAAAGTCATATTTTATGCTTTCGACGTCCTGAATCCGAATCCGAAGTCCGTTTTTCCAAATTCGAACCCGGTAAGCCGTCTTTCACTAATTTATCACCCGATTCGATCCGTTTATCGTAATTAAGCTCCGTTTCTGATATAATTTATGTTGATATGTATCTGAGGAATTATTGGAAGTTGAATTGAAGATCAAAGGCGTTCGAATGGAATTTTTATGGTCGATCAGTATTGCACGAAAATCAAGGTAATACTTTACTACCTCTTTATGCTTTATGGAACATGTTGATATTGGTAAATGCATGAATAAGATAATGTTGGTCACTTTTGTGGAGTTGAATAATTTATTCACTCGATATGAATGTGGTAGAAATTCTGTAACTGAATACGGATCGAATGCCTAATATATGATATTGAAAGATTGTTAGAATTAAATTACAATTTTGTGAATAGTGATAAAGAAATCAGACATGGATTTGTAAATTATTTTTATATCATCAAAGGATTAAATGTTAAAGGTACTTGGATGAGAAATTATGAGAATACTTCGGTATGGTAAAAATAGGAAATTACCCTTATATTGGAAAATGATAAGAATTGTCCCTGAAGTGGACTAATAAATCTGAAAAGACATAATGATACGATAAATATATTGATGTGCATAAGAAATGATAGTTATACTTAGAAATTATGGATAACCGGTTTTTAACCCCAAGAGGGTTTATACAAGATACTAGAAGTGTGTTAAGGGAATTATTTCAAGATCAGAGAGTGTTCAAGAAAGCAATTAATCATAGGATCTCTAAATTATATTATTTTCGTTAAGAGCTAATATCGAACTTATCTGGTTAAGAAATTACGGAAATGCCCTTAAGAGGTAGAATAGTCTGAGATGACTCTGAATGAGAAAATACTTAGAGGATTCGTACTTAACTCAATTAAGTACGGATTTAATTGTTAAGATCCCGACTTCGTGCAGGAAAATTTATGATATTCCGTTTGTAAAGTCTGAGAAGACACTTGACCTGAAAATATTCAAATAATGAGTAAATACTTGAAGAGTAATTTATCGGGGGTATTCTGCTATCAGAATTGTTCGAACGGACTGGAATAGATAATAAATTGGAATTAAATAATAAGACCGGATTGAGGAAAAAGGTTGAAATACCGTGAATCTGTAAAATGACCAAAATACCCCTGTAATAGAAATGACCCAAGAATATCCCAAGCTCAGAAATGATTGAATATCCTCGAGCTCTGAAATGAATGGAATAAAACTGAACATCAAAATTACCAAAATACCCTTATGGCCTAAATTAAGTAAATGTCTTGGATTAATTAAGGAATCCAAGTAAGATAAGTATTGGACTACCTTTAAAGGTAATGGAAAACAATTCAAGTGAATAGATCAACCCTAAAGCTATGTCAATACCTGAATGACATAAATATTACTGGAACATGTGTTCATCTTCTCAAGTTTGGCTCGATGATAAATTTTGGAAGTATTCAACTCAGCTCTAGATTGTATTCAGTACTAAGAATTGAACGTTTGTTCGACAATCAACCACGAAGACCAAATTGAATGGAATGGAAGTACAACATGTATCTGAAATTCAGGAACGTTTGAATTACTCTGGAAAATCCT